TAGTGTCGGGGCATCGTGAGTCGGTGTTGGAATTATGAATCGGGTCCTGGATTGAGGTCAAATTTTAGGTCTTTAAGTCTCGGGTTGGGGTTGAGTCAGATCTAAGATCGGGGTTGGAATTGAGAGTTGGGTCCCTAGTCAGCGTTTAGAGTCGAGTTCAGAAGTCGGAGTGGGGACCAAGAGTCGAGTTTGGGGTTGAGGTCAAGAATTGAGTCTCAAGTCGAGGTCGATGGTATGGTCTCAGATTGGAGTCGCCGAGTTAGGTTAATTGGGTGTCGGTAATGAGAGTAGGTTCCCAGGTCGAGGTCGAGGTCAGGGTCAGGATCGTGACGGGGTGGGGTGTCGGGTCTAGATGTGCCCTCTCAAAGTTAAAGTGCGTACTTGTTGACTCATGAGGTCAAGTTTGAATGTAATATTTATATATTATGCCTAGCTCGAAGTAAGACAAATATATAAAAGGAAAGTATAATTGTGAGTTTGACAAGAAAATGAATTTTGTTTATTCAGAAATCAAAATTAAGGATCACTTTAACAATTACACTAATAGAAAACTATTACATAGTCATTTTTTACTATTATGTACTATCTTTATAATTATCACAAATTACAGGTTTGCTCCTTGCACTACTAAGCAATTGTCTAGTAACACAACTAACTTTCTTCCCTAACCAAGAATTACATTTTCCAGAACTACAAGTCTTGTTATCTTCCTCACCAACCAATTTCTTGTTAGCCGTTTCGATTTTCGATGTCATTTTCATCTTCTCCTTATGAAGGTTTTGCATGACATGAATTTCAGCAACTTGTGCCATGGATGCTCTATGTTTTCAACAAATTGAAGTATTTACTAATATTGATAGTTGTTACATTATTGTTTCTTCTATTTAATTATTTATACTAAAACTAATAATAATATCCCTGGCCTGCTTGGGTAGCAAGGAAACTGTGAGAATATTGTCATCATTTGGTTAGACTATGGTCCATGTACTTGGTGACCAAGTATTTTCCTAAATTTGACCATGTCTACAAACTTAGGTTTTTTCATTTTTTTTTAAAAGTTTAACCATTTAGTATTCGAAATTACTGATCCAACTAATCCAGCATCGTGTCAATCGCATATGCTAAGGAAGATGAAACTCTTCTTAATTACCAGAGAAATTAACATTTTTGAACTTTTTTTTATTTTCAAAATTCAAATACAAAATAATGAAGAAATCTCAATCAACGCACCACACACCAGCTTGTTGGTCTTCTTTTTCTTATAACAAAGAATGTCACATTTTTATAATTAAAAACAATTTAACTTCATTATTCTCCTTTTATCCTTAATGAAATGTTGTATAGTCACACAATTAATGGTCAAAGAGTATTTTAGAATTTTGACTACAAAATTAAATATTGTGCCAAGATAAACAGTATCACGTAAATTGAGACGGAGAAAATATTTGAAAAGTTGGCTTATTTTAATTTGTTAGAACTACTAAATAGTGATGTTTCCTTGTGGTCAACATACACGATAAAGAAACATTTCTTTGGATATAAATGGGGTTTCCTGGCAAGCAAAGATAGTAGGAAAAAAAAGACAATAGCACCATCAATTATTTGTTTATTATATTAAAATTATCAATTTACTTTTATTTATCCTCTAAACAAATCAAGAATATAGAGTTTATCATATAATTCCTATCTATCTTCATTATTAATTATAATTATTTTTCAAAATACTACATTTATCATATTTAAAAGATAGTATAGTAAATTTATTATTTTATTAATTATTTTTAAAGAGATAAAAAAATCAAATATAAATAAGTAAAAATAAATAGAGGGAATAGCAATTATCATGTAGGCATTTAAATGAAATGGGACATAATTATCATTTTATTTTAAAATATTACAAGTCTCGAAAAGGAAGCTCCTTGGTAACTTCAACATATAATAAATTAAAATATAATGATAATGCAATAAAATGTTTATAATTACTTGAGATTTGAAATATTTTTTATACCTTCAAGCTACAACATCAAAAAAACAATTAAAAAATAATTAAAGCTTTGGTCTCTGGTAGTAGTAGGAATATAGTTGATATGTCTAGATCAAATCTCACATGTATGAATGTTATTTGATTTAATTTTTTTTTTAAAATCTGATTTCTTTTATCATAATTAATTATCAGTTTTTGTGAGCCTTAAGGGTGGTCTTATTGGTAATAATACTTAAATATGTCATCACAAAGTTTATATTCAGCCCTGTTTGTACTTTCTATTTGATCAAAATACATCACCATATATTAAACTTATTTTGATCAATCTTGAGGAAGATTCACTATTAAAAAAAGCTGAATTTAACGATAATAAATTTTGTAGTTAAACAATAAAATTTGTCGTTATTCTTATTTAGTGACAAATTTTTATTAGCTATAAAAGAAATAACGATGAAACTCATAGCTAACTCTCATTTTTTTAGAAGCGATTATTTACTATAAAATAAAATTTGATTGCAATTTAAGAGACATTATTTTTTCTTTAATTATTTTCTTATAAGTAAAAATAAATAAATACATGGAGTAGTAAGGGCGGAACTAAGGGGCTCATTCGAATAATCTAATTCGTCAAATATTCACATTATATATAAGATACATTTGTTCTTACATATATATCACTGAATAACAATTCTACATCCGCTACTGACAAAAACGACTACCTTTCAACGTCGATAGCAACAATATAGCCAACTCTTCCTCAAATGCATTGTTCCTACTTCTTTCATCTTCAGCTTTCATATGTTTCTCAAACACATTTTCAGATATTACAACATTTCTACAAAGTGGACATGTTGATTGCCCTTTCCCATGCATTAGCCATTTCTCCAAACAACTTTCATGGAACATATGATTACAATTGTTAAGCTTTCTCCCTTTATCTCCATATTTGAATTCTGATAAACAAATCGCGCATTCAAGTGATTCTTCATCTCTATTTAAACATCTAATTCTTCTATAAACAAATTTGGAGCTCTTCTCATCTATATTATCCTTGTACCTATTTCTCTCTAGTTGTCTTTGTCTATATGAATTCAAAAAAGCAAAAGTTGCTAACATGATGAATTTTAATAAATTAGGTAACCATGAATAAAAGAAAGTGGTGATAAGTTCATTGAAATAAAGGTAGAGTTTAGTGAAAGCCTTCATATTTTTTTTTTGTATAAGATAATGCTTTTAGTGGAATTAAAGAAGAGCTGCTTTTTTATAGGTACAAAAGGCATGTTGTTTGAAAGATTTCTATGGAGTATTTTTTTAATGTGGTACTAATTTGACTTGTTACATATATAGCTTCCTTTGTTGATCATGTGTTCTTTATTTATTTTATAAAACACATTTAATACATATATGATATCTTTTTTATATGATTAATCATTATCTAGAACTAATTTATCTGATTAATTTAAATTCATGTCATGTAGAGTTCTGTAAATGAGAAGTAAATTCTATTAAAAAAAAATTGCTTCGCAAATTCATGACCTCTGATTAATAATGAGTCGAGGAATTTTATAAGGAGAATATTTCACTTGTCTATCTTTTACTGATGGAAAGTAATTTAGGAAAATGGGAATATTAAAAGTAATTTTGGCCGATATATATAATTAATTATTATCAGTCCTATTTGGCTGACAGTGTGCCTGGTTGACTTTGTTTATTGTTAAAAATTAAAGAATTTATGTCATTTGGCTGTTTTAAATCACTAAAGTTTAAGGGTTTATCAAGTGGTTGATAAAATGAATTGAGAATAATGAGTTTCATGTTTAAATTTCACTAAAGATAAAAGTACTTGTTGTTAGTTAGTTGTTATTAGTAAGAGGTAGCATGTATCGGGTGGAATCACTCGAGGTGTGCATAAATAAAAATTACTCGAACACCGTTAATTTTCTATAGTTCGAATCTGTTTGAATTTGAGAATTAATTTTGTACTGAAAAGACATGTATTGTGTGACTTGACTGTTTTGAATTTGGTTGAAAATTACCAATTGCAAGACGAGTAAAGTTTTCGTGTTTTGGATTGTTATACAATTTTACTTGGAAATTCAATATTGTTTCAAGTCGATTCTTCTGACCATTCTCTTTATTCTCTCTTTATTTGCATTCACACTTTGGAAGCAAAAATGGAATCTCCGTGAAGTTAAAAAGAAGCAAGTTGACTATAAAACTAGAGACAAACACACAAGAAGAAAGAGACCAGGGTTGCATCTAGTTTTCTGTATATAATAACTATACTCTACATCTTTTGTGCACACAATCTTGTGGGACATATAAATAGCACAACAATACTTCAATTCTATTGTATCGTGTCGTTTAAATTCATTATTATGTAATGGCGAAAAGACTCATTTCATGTAACGATCAATTTGGTGTGATCGCATCGTTTTAATATTTTCTTCTCATTTAATCTTTATTTATTATATTTCATCTTTTACCCTATATTTTCATTGTAGTTCTACCTTGTACCTTACCTTTTTTGTATCCTTATCATTCAAACTATGAATGTGTGACTTATGTAAGGACAGAGAACGATACAATCTATCCAAATATTGTATTCATTAAAATAATAGGGTACGATACAATACAATACGATACTTTATGAGATAGTATGTAACAACCATATATCATCTCTGAGAGAGGATCACAATTCACTTCATGCTTTTGGAAAAAATTTCAAGAAGCATTAGATATACGAGTAGATCTTAGTAAGCATTTCATCCACAAGAGACATACCGTCTAAATGTACCATACAAATTTTGGACGATATGTTGAAAGCTTGAATTCTTTATTTTATTTTGAAGAAGGCTAAGAAATTATAAAACATCAAAGATAAAAGTATGCATTGGCACTTAAGTAGGCCATACATTACATTATTATTATTTGGACTAAGGTCCTTATTACACATTACATAGTCGTAATTTTACTTGAGAGCAAATCGAGGCATATATATAATATATGACAACGATCAATATGCTTGGGCCTTTCCATAGGGAGGATGCAGTTTGAAGTTAAACACCATTGGGTTCTCCGCGAGAACTAAACGATTATATCCATTTTGTCTAACGGTGCCAATGTTGTAGCATTCTATGTCGAGACAGAACACTAGCTTATAACTATAACGAGCAACATGTTTAATTTGGAACCAGCTGCTCACATCGAAAGGATTTCCCAACTTTGCACCCGTGCTTATGGTATGCCCATGTTGCGGCACAAGTTTACCAATGTTATCGACCTTCCACACCATTAGGTCAGTACACGAATTTAAAGAATCAATATAAAATTTGATGTTTAGCGGAGAGGACTCCACAATCTTTTTGTAATTGGGATTTTTAGGTACAAAATAAACTCCAATACCATAGTCTGCAACATCTAGAGATTCCACAACCGATGTTGGACAAGTGTTTTGTTGTTGATCCCCAAGATCAGCTAGGCTCATGCCTCCGTCCTCAATGGAGTGGTGGGGCGGAATCATGTAGTACCTACTGCTTGCATTGAGGGGTTTACCATCGATATCGAGTACATCTACCAATAGTTGGTTGTTGTTGCAAGTTGCTAAGGGAAGGGATATTGCAAGGGAAACAAAGAGTAGTAGTATGATCTTCATCTTTAGGGACTTTTTTTTTTGTTTTGATGATTTATCCTTCCTTGCTAATATCCCTTCATTTTATAGACAAGATTTTGCTCATATATGTGAAAAACACGTTTAATGTGTTTTGTTTGTTTATACCATTTTTCGTACAATAATGATGTTATCTTTTATTATACATATAGGGTGTGTTTGGCATGAAGGAAAATGTTTTTCTGGAAAACAAGTAGATTTTTTATTTACTTTTTCATGTTTGGTTGGTGAATAGAAAATATTTTCTGGAAAAGATTTTTAGTGTTTTGATTTATGAATGAAAAATATTTTTGAGAAATATCTTTTATTTTTATTAAAGTAGAAAATAATTTTTGAAATTGAATATATTTTCAAAAACAAACTTAAATATTTTTTGAGTGGGAGGCGGGGGGGCTGGC